AGAATGAAGACACTATCTTTTGGCATTTTAAAGCGAATGATACACAAAACTGGATTCATCTTCATCTTCGTGAACAACATTTCACACCTTTTTATGAAGTATCAGATTTATTGAAGCCAATAAAAGACGCTACCCAAAATGAAGCCCATGTTGATGCCAATATTCAACTATTGCGTGATAATTATGATGAAGATGCTACTGAAGACAACCATAACAATCATGAAAATGAAATTGAGATTGATAGAGAAGATCGAATTGGTGAAAATATTATGGATTTTATTGTTGATGGTACTACTCCAGTTTACACAAATTATCGTAAACACAGCACAAGTCATATTGATTTTTATAAAGACTTTACCGGTAATTCATTTGGTCATTCTTGTATTATTTGCGACAGACTATGGTGGAAAAGAGACTTGAAAATGTCGACCAGTAAACATGAGAGTATTTTGAAAACAATCCTGCAGGTAATCTTAATTATATAGTTTTTTTTTTAATCATTAACTTTATATTTTTCTCTCTATATCTAGATAATACGAATTTGATTTTTTAGAATTACATACCTGGTGAAATTGTTCAAGTCTGCTATACGTGTTATACATCTTTGGAAAAAGAAAAAATTCCTCTTATGTCAACCTACAATGGTTTTGCATATCCGAAAATTCCATCACATTTACCAACGTTAAACCTTATCGAGCAACGATTGATTTCACCGAGACTAGCGTTCATGCAAATTCGTAGGCTGAGACACGTTAATGATCAGTACGGTATTTACGCCCAGATAATTAATGTTCCTGTCGAAGTCGATACAATGGTGAAACAATTGCCAAGAAACATTCAAGACGACCATTGTTTTTATGTGCATTTGAAAAAGAAGTTGATTCACAAAACTAGTCATGTCCACGGGCTTGTGAATAAGAGTCATATTGAAGAGTGGTTGTCGTATTTAGTATCTACGCCTCTTTATATTTATCATGACATTAAAATCGATGAATCCTTTTTTACCGACAATGGATGTACTTCGCAATTGAATATGGACGAAATAAGTGAACACGTGCCAATTGAAGACAATTTAGTTGCGCAGCAACAAACTCTTTTGTGGAATGATGATTATTTTTTGAGTCTAGCACCCGGTGAATGTAACGGTATTTCAATGGATGAACATGCGGAAGAATTATCTTTTCCGACAATCTATGGCGGTCAATTTCGAACATATAGAGATGGTGTTACTGTTACTCCATTCATGCAAGCTACCAGCGAACTCCGGCGTACTGATAGGCGCGCTACTGACCCACAACACCTCTTATACATCGCTGCTAAAATCATGAAGTTGCGAGTTAGTGGATGTGTCAACGTTGCGTTTAAGCATGTCGGACAAGGTACTTCAATTACGAAAGACACCATTGAATCTGAAGAATATATAAATAATTGTTTAGAAACAAATCTCGCATTCCTTCGCTGCATACCAAATTCCGCTTGGTTTTGGTCAGATCGCAAAAAAGATCTTTTTGCAATGATCAGGCAATTAGGCCCACCAACTGCTTTTATGGGTCTAAGCGCCAATGAAACCGGCTGGGAAAATTTGTTGAAATTATTGTACAAATTGAAAAACGAGGGCGCGGAAATTTCAGATAAGTTTTTAGCAGAAATGAGTTATATGTATAAAGCTCAACTTGTGAATGAAGATGCCGTAACTTGTGCTATTTATTTTAATAAAAAGGTAAATTGTCTATTAAAAGTTTTGCAATCAAAGAAAAGAAGTCCATTCGGAAAATATAGAGTAGTACATTATTTCAAAAGAATAGAATTTCAACATCTTGGTAGCCCACATGCACATATTCTTCTTTGGTTGGAAAATGTTCCTGAAGATTTATTAAGCAATGATCCTGAAGTTATTAAATTAATTGACGAATTGGTTTCTGTGTCAGCGTCAGAGGCGTCTGGAAATATAAAACTAGTAACACACAAACACACATCCACGTGTTATAAAAAAATGAATCCCAATAAAAAGCAAGAATGTAGATTTGGTGCACCATTTATGCCAACAAAAAAAACTATTTATTTGATACCTATGAAAGACACTGATCCCGATTACTCAGAAGCACTTTTCAAAGAATATAAGAATCGATTTAAATTTATAAGAAATAATCTCGAATATTTTGACTACACGAATTTTGATGAATTTTACTCGCATAATTATATTCTTTCTGATGATCATTACTACAATATTATTCGTGCTGGTATCAATAGACCAAAATTATTCTATAAAAGAACACCAGCAGAAAAATGGCACAACTCTTTCAATCCGTTCGTATTACATCATTTTAAATCGAACATGGACTTTCAGATTATACTAGATGAATATGCTTGTGCAACAAATGTTGTTGAATATGCCAATAAGCATAATAGAGGGATTAGTAATTTGCAAAGACAAATAATTGACATAATGGACGAGCATCCAGAATTCGACATTGTCGATATCACGAACAAAATGAGTATTGACATACTTCAGTCTGTTGAAATGTCGGCACAAGAAGCTGCTTGGTATTTATTAAGAGAACCTGTGGCTAAGTCATCGGTGGCGACAGTCTACATTCCAACGGTATTGCCTACTGAACGCGCAAGAATTAGAAAATCTATGAAGGAACTTGAAACTTTAGACGATGACTGTACGAACGTTGGGAAAGAGAATTGGTTCGATAAGTACGAGAAAAGACCTGAAGAGCTCCGCGATGTTACGTTAGCACAATTTGTTGCAAAATATTACATAAATAAAAAGGGGACTTACAGTAAAAGAGATACTGCAAGAATAATAAGATACAAGAACTACGATATGGCTGAAAATTACAACGATTATAGGCGTGAGATGGTTCTGTTGCATGTTCCATTTCAAAGTGAAGAAAATGATATTATCGCTGAAAATAAGTTCATTCAAATATACGAGGACAACAAAGATACGATATTAGAACGTAAGAAAGAATTTGAATCAAATTTGGATATAGAGAAAACTTTACAAATTTGTACACAGTTGTGCCGAGAAAACGATGAAGAACAAGAAGACGAAGAATTATTAGGAGCGGCGCATGATGATCCGATTGATATACCTGATTTCAATTGTATTGCTCAATTCAATCGAGATACTGTTCCAAAAGGTGGGGTAGCTATTTACCAAAATAAAAACGTGTGGCACTCGGGGACTACCGCGGTAAAGCTATTGCATAGCATTTTTTTATCAACTTATGCAATTATAATTAGACAATAATAATATATTATTAAGACAATAATAAAATAAAACCTATATCTATAAACATTAACTGTCCCCTTCACACTCATAAGCTAGACCGCGTGAGAGAGAGATGGGCAGACTTTTCCCGATGCGCATGCAGTGCGACGTCACGCCGCGCGCTCATTCACAACCACTACACAAGCGCAACGTGTGAATGTGTTGAACGCGAGCTGCATGTAGGCGGAGTGGCGGGTGTTGTGGTTTATTTTCGTTACGGAATTTCTTGCTGAAAAGCTGTGCAATAGCTTAATAATAATGTTACTAATATAATGAATCCTAATATTAAAATAAATATTGCACACGTTAGCGATGTCAATGTTAGGCGCTTATTTGTTGGAGATATTTGTGCGTGCTTATGCAAACATAGAAATGGCCTACACGTAGTAGGTAGGTAGGCCATGGTAGCAATTTACATTTCTCCCAATCCAAAATTAGACGAGGTAGAGCATATAAGCTATTGCAGCTTTACCGCGGCAGTCCCCGAGTGCCACACGTTTTTTTTTTTTTAATAGTTCAATGAAACTTTTTGATTTGATTTTTGATTGATTTAAAAAATTATAGAATATATAAGATACAGATTACACAGAGAAAGACATATCATAAATGGGGACCAGAAATCCTTTTCATTGTGCAAGACTGTATGTGAATATGTTTCAATAAATAAACTAAATCTCAATGTTAAATCTTACTCCGACATAGTATACGTAAATTGTTCAATTTTAACTAGATATTCTACACAACCCTGCATTGGAAAGCTCTAACGATCAAAAGAATCATTTATTGGGTTTGGAGAACCAGCTGTTAGAAGCAATGAAATCAAGTGAAGAACTCTGGGGAAATATGAAGACTCATTTTGAAACTAACAGATTCCCGTGGTAAGTATTTGTTTAAAAGAATAATATATAGGTCATTTTATCCTGGTTGACATATAAGTAGACTTACTCAAAGCATATATGGTGAACTCTAGAATTTAAAACAGAAATCAGAAATAACTATTTATATATAACCTTTGTATTGATGTGATCTGTTATTTATCTTTTATTGTTCTTTAGGTAGCGAACAATCTCTTTATCCCAACTTATAACATTACATAACAAACTGTTAAACAGATAGCACAAAACTGTTATTAAATTGGTCATGTGAAAAAACCTCTTGATTTAGTTCATATAGTATTTTTTTAAATCAGTATCGGATATATAGAGTTATATATGACAGTCTAGTTAATAGACTCTAGTATATCGCTATTCATCAGAGGCGGCAAATGATTTCACTGATTCTGGTCTTTCAATCACACTTCTCGTACATAGTCAAATGATATTAAAGCAATTTTACCAATAAATCTTTTTCGTTTAAAGGTATAAGATTAACAGGTACCACATAAAAACTGTAGTACTCAACAAGCTGAAGACTGCGGCCACCGCCCTCTACAACTCGAGGTAAGCTTAAAGACGGCCTTCTGTTAAAACGCCTACGAAGCCTGGTCTTAACACTAATGAGCTCCTTCAACGGAAGGGGGACAGAGTCGTTATCGATGTGGTATATCAATAGCCACTCATCTTGAGACATTAGTTCGCAGTCTCAGTTTTATTCTATAGCAGATGGACCGTTCATCCTTCAAACCGGAACGTGTGTTCCTGCTTCGTGGAAAAATAAGCAGGATAATGTTATCTATTCGTGCATGGTTACATTAGACCCTACTACCAGTGCATTCCTAATTTTATAAATATTTCTTGATTTTATAATACCAAAATGTATGGCGGTATCTGACTGTGGGGGTACACAAGAGTATACCAGTAAATTACACCAGTATATTGTATTGCCTTAAATGAATCGTTCCTTTACAGGGGTCATCAGTGCTCACCGATGCTACTGCAGAAGCTTTGTTATCAGCTGAAGGAGGTGACCAGGGAATCGCTATATGAGTACTGGTACGCCTCCCGCGAGAACTCTCCTTCGTCGGCCGAGTCTATACAAAGAACAACCAAATTACAGAGAGCTGTGGCCCAGAAGTAAGTTTACATTTCCACAGGTCTCAAGTTATGTTTGTCATTAAGCTGCAGAAAGAATACCCACCGTTGAGTTTTTCCATCACAATAACGGAGCTTTAAACCAAAATGATTTGTCATACATTGCTGCCTACCCCCCTGTCTAAACGTAAACGACCATCAAGTTAAACTTAATTAAATGTACGTACGTAACTTATTTGTTTAATAAGCAACCGGACACCAAAAAAGAATTATAAATTTTAAACGCTAGTGGCGACATCCCTAGTTAACGAACTGCCCATCACCCGCGGCTCCGAACTGCCCGCAGACAGTGGCGGAGTGCGGCACTATACAAACATCACAAAGCAGCCAGTGGCTTTCGGTCTGGGGTCGATCCTCCTACGAGATCCCCGCGCCTAGGGGGCGCGCGAGGTATGTAGGACTGGTCCATAGGGAGAGTTAACACTAGCATAGGTCATGACTCATGACGGAACGTATGCAAGTTTTTGCAGAGGGTCACCATGTAATGAAGGGACAGTGTACTTCACTTGCAGATCATAGGGTGGAGTCGACCAAGTAGAAACGCGGCTCGGTAGCGTACTGATTTAATGTGAATTGTGTGTGTAAAAAAAATGTGTGTGCCCGAATATCAACCCACTGTCGAGGGTGACGCTTAGCTGTTTAGCCTTCAAAGCCCACGCACGGCATGGGCTGGCCAAAGATTTTAATAGTGGGTATGGAGTTACCGCGCCTAACTCGTGACGAGATAGTAGCATTAGTTCTCTCGGACTCGCCCTCTCGGGTGAACCCTTTTGAAGAACATGGCTGTGCTTTTCGTGGGGTTGATGTCGGTGCGCTACTGCCGGAACCACTGTCCGATCGTTGGTGGCCGTGATCTGGAGCTTACTATGCATGAACGACATCTTCCTACTAGAGTAGTAGATAGCCGTATTATTCGCGAAAAAGGCTAAGCGGGTCGCCGGCGACCGGCGTATTTCGTTAATAAATAGGCTAAAAAGTAGCGGGTCAGAAAGTAGAGAGTAGAGCCTTGCGGAACTCCGACTGAGATTTGTCGTGAAAGTCTCGTATGATGAGCACAAGATTACCTGACACGTCCATGCTATCATCATCTCAGGCCTTACAGCCCAGGATGGGCCTTAGCCTGGTCCAGTATGTCTCTCCAGAATGCTCTGTTCAGGGCTTTCTCCTTCCAGTTCCTGACACCGATAATTTTGACGTCCATGTTATGCAGTTTGTAAATTAAACCGTTGTGCCAGACTTTGTTGAACGCTTTCGCGATATCGGAGAAGAGAGCTTCCGTGGGAAAGGGTTTACGTATATTATAGCTTTACTAAGATGTGCTCCCTAAGACTTACTGAATGGAAGAGTGCTCCACGCGGAAGCTGAACTGTTCGTCGATCAGGATGCCTTTCGAGGTGATGAAGTCCCCCGTTTGCATAATAGTCGCTTGTATAACTTGCTTATCATTGAAAAGAGGCGGAGATCGGGCGGTAGCTTGCGGGCTCTTTTTTAGGTTTTTCAGCTTTGTGTATGCCGTAACGTTTAAAATGGAGACCAACATGATTATTAGTTGGGCGGGTAAAATTTTTAACCGTAGTTATGGATTTCGTCGTATCCGGGCGCTTCCCGTGGTTGTAAGTTCGCGATTCCTTCTTTTATTTCGTAATAAAGGAAGGAACCCGCGGATGCGTTACCCCCCGTTTTCGGGGGCTGGGCTGGCTGGGAAGCTCTGCGCTCGACCTCCCTGATGACTAACTCGGTCTGTTCCGGGTTCACAGTATTGCACAATTTGAGTATTGGTGGTGCACTGCTCGTGTAGTGCATCGGCCAACAACTCTGCCTTTTCATCGTTATACGGCACCTTTGAAAGCTTTACGCGCGCCGCGTTCAGAAGTAGGTCCTGTTTAAACAAATACCGTCAACGGTTCTCTTTTGTTGCTATTTCATAACCGCAGTATATATGCCGCGGCATTCTTTTGGCGGCACAGGTTCAAAAGCGACGGTCGCGTATTTTAACTCGTACATCGAGGACAAGAGAAGATTACCACTACACGTAACGCACATACCTGCCAGATCCTGCGGACCGAATGGAAAACAGTCGCCGTCGCCCTAAACACGTCATTTCAGATCCTCCCGATCCACTATCGCGATCCACGATCCGCGATCCGCTTTTATCTATCTCGAGCACCAGTCTCCGTTCTCATCAAAAGGGCTCAGTGAGTAAATTAACCCACTGAGTTTCTCGCCGAATCTTCTCAGTGCGTCGTATTTCCGATCCGGTGGTAGATTCTGCGAAGCACTGCTCTTGCTAGGGCCAGTGTTAGCAACACTTCCAGTTTGAGCCCCGTGAGCTCACTTACCCCGGTTGCGCTAGCATAACCCCCTAAGTTACCAGTTTCAAGAGTAATGTACTTATTCGAAAATGCGGAAATAATGTAATGATTTGACAGTAAAACGCGAGATTAAACTGCAAAAGTAGTAGTTTTAATTACGCTAAATAAAATCGAAACATTGTAAAGTTTCTTCTCGTAAACTTAGGTTTCAGGTTCAGTAACTCGCATCCTGGCAAGACATCATACTATTCATTGTGTATTAGTACTAGGGGGGATCAAAAAGTAGTGAGAATGTGATAGAATATGATGACTATTGATAACTTAATAATTTATTTTTCTACATAGTCTCCGAGTCTCTCTATACAGCGAGTCAGAGCTTTTCCAAAGCTTCAATCCCTTTCAAAAAAAAGTTTTGTCTTGGTCCTGCAAAAAGTTCTCCACGGCATCCATCACCACGTTATTGTCTTCGTACCTGTTTCCCCTTAAGTCCCTTCTTTCAATTTGGGGAACAGATAAAAATTGCTAGG